AGCGGAATGCAGTAGCCTGTGAAATGTGGTGGGAGATCCATTTGTGGCCCATCCTGATCCTCTGTCCACCACCCCTATCGCAGGTCAATTCCTGGAGTGGCTCCATTGAGATTGGGGTGACGGCACTGGACCCTAGTGTGCTGGACTTCCCAAGCAGTGCCACAGGGCTGAAGGGGGGCTCATGGGTAGTGTCGGGCTGCTCAGTGCTGAGGGATGGACGTTCTGTGCTGGAGGAGTATGGTCAGGACCTGGACCAGCTTGGTGAAGGGGACCGTGTGGGCGTGGAGCGCACGGTTGCTGGGGAACTGCGGCTCTGGGTGAATGGGCGGGATTGCGGTGTGGCTGCCACGGGCCTGCCTGCTCGTGTCTGGGCTGTTGTGGACCTTTACGGCAAATGCACTCAGATCACTGTGCTACCCCCTGAGCCAGGCTTCAGCCCCCCTACTCCCGTCCCAACACCTCCCCTTGAGCCCTCCACTCCCCCTGAAGATTCTGTCTTGGCTGAACAAGGAACCTCTGGGGATGAAGGTGAGAACAACGAGGGCAGTGGTGGAGGGGTGGGGCAGAGGGAATGGCTGAAGGAATGGGGAAAATGTAGTGACAAGTGACACTGGGTGTGGACATGGCTGCTCAGACCCCTGAGTCTGTTGAAGGGGAGATCAGGGGATAGAGGAGGGGGTCTCCTGGCTGTGGGCCCTGCAGCAGGGTCTAAACCCTTGTTCCCCTCCCATCCCACCTGGTCCCCAGCCTTCATGGTGTCCCCAGCGCAGGCCCGCCCGGAGACGTTTCCTAACAGCCTTGAGTCGCATAATGGTGAGGGCTTCGGGGAGGCTCTGGGAAGGGGAGTGGGAAGTGAGGTGGACAAGGGAGGGACCTCAGGAGAGGGGTAGGGAGAAGACTGCAAGCCTAAGAGTGTAGAGCCTCATTTCTGCTTCCTTTCTTTTGTCCTAATGCCATAGACTTTGCCAGCATGGAACTATCTGAGGTGGTGAGCAACACCATCTTGTCTGCTTACAATGGGGGGCTCCTAAATGTGAACCTGAGCCCCCCACCAGCAGGGGAAGGGCTGGGGTCTAGCTGTGCTGCTACCTCACCCATCCTTACTTCCAATGACGCCCTGCTCTTTCATGAGAAGTGTGGAACTCTCATCAAACTCAGCAACAATAATAAGACAGCAGAGCGTCGCCGGCCCCTGGATGAATTCAACAATGGGGTTGTCATGACCAACCGCCCGCTCCGGGACAATGAGATGTTTGAGGTGTGCAAGATTCTGGGGTCTGGCTGGCATCTCATCCTCTGGGAGCTAAAGATGGAGCTTGATCCTTGATGCTGGAAAGGTGGGGACAAGGGAAGAGCCAAGGGCTGAGGATCTTTTGCATTTACATTTCCTGCCTCTCTCTTTTGCTAATATTCCACCCAAGATCCGCATCGACAAGCTCGTAGATAAGTGGTCAGGCTCCATTGAGATCGGTGTCACCACCCACAACCCCAACAATTTGGAATATCCAGCCACCATGACCAACCTGCAGTCAGGTACCAGCCACTGACAGGGTGGGGGCAAGGACCTGTGGTCACTGGGGTCAAGGAAGCCCATACCCTAACCAGGGTATCCGCTTTCCCCTAGGCACCATCATGATGAGCGGCTGCGGGATCCTGACAAATGGCAAGGGCACCCGGCGCGAGTACTGTGAATTTAGTCTGGATGAGCTGCAGGTGAGGGTGGGGCACAGCCTGGGTCACTCTCCAGGGGAGTCCCCTGTGTGCTGCATCCTTGCCTGGGCACCTCAGTCTGCTCTGAGATCTAGAGCAAGGCTCTTTTTCTTTCGCCTCAAGGTTTCTTCTGAGAAGGCAATGTTTCCCAACAGTTAGGCACTCAAGATTTTAGCGTCAGATGAGTTCGATTCATTTTATTGTTTGGTCATTTGTAGTAGTGACCTGAAGCAGAAGCTCATCCTCTTTGGTAGTTTTTCCTTTTTTTTTTTTTTTTTCAGAAAATGTCTAAAAGGAGCCTATTAGTACTGTTTTATAGATTGTTGTGAGCATCAAACAAGTAGATGTTTATAAGGTGATGACGTAACATAGTGTCTGACTTGCATTGAGCGTTCAGGGTGGTCTGAGACTCATGGGAACTTTTTGGAGCTGTTCTCCGGTAACTCGGGGTGATGAGAAGGCTCTAGGACTGCTCTGTTCTCACGGTGCCTACAACTGTCCGGAGCCTGATTGTGGATGGATTCCAGACTGTTATTTTTCTGTTTTGAATAGGAGGGTGACCATATTGGTCTCACAAGGAAGTCCAACTCTGCCCTCCACTTCTTCATTAATGGCATTGATCAGGGTAAGGGGAAGCTCAGAGAGGGCTGCCGGGCCAGGGCTTTCAGTGGGGTGGTCTGTGCCTCATCCTCCTGCCTTTCTGATATCAGTCTCCCTATGTCTGACCTTTCTCCCCTCACCCCCCCACGTTCCTGTGCCTACTATCCCTATAGGCGTGGCTACCCCATTGACACCCCCGGTGGTGTATGGTGTGGTGGACTTGTATGGGATGGCAGTGAAGGTAACCATCGTCCACAATAACAACCACAGCGACCGTTTACGCCGGAACAATGCCATTCTGCGGGCACTGTCCCCTGAGGGTGCTCTCCGCCGTGCTGCTCCTGCTACCCAGGCAGAACCTGAGCGCCTGCTTTTCCACCCCAACTGTGGGCAGAAGGCAGCCATTACCCACGAGGGACGCACTGCCCTGAGGCCCCAGTATGGCCCATGGGGTGGGGAGAAGCCTGCAGAAGGGGCTCTAATGGAATTGGGGGAAGGTGTGAGGAAGTGGGAGGTAGAGGGTGTCAGGTCTGGGGCATCCTGGACAGAAAAGGTGGGGAGCCTTCTGGATTTTGAAGTTTATCTGGTTAACTTGGGGCAGTGGGTGTCGGGCAGGCATTGCTGGGCTAAGTTCTGGTGCTCTCGGAGTTTGAGTTGCAGGTCTGACTCTCCACTTGCTGTGCCCTCAGTGCTACCGATGACTTCAATCATGGCGTGGTGCTGAGCAGCAGAGCCCTGCGGGATGGAGAGGTGTTCCAGGTGCGCATCGACAAAATGGTGGACAAATGGGCTGGCTCCATTGAGATTGGTGTCACCACCCACAACCCTGCCTACCTCCAGTTGCCCTCCACCATGACCAACTTGCGCTCTGGTGAGCTCCTAAGAAAGGCGGGGCCAGGATAGGGTCCTGGGATTGAAGCTGTCTCCACAACCCTGATGCTTGTTCTCCAGCTCCTTTTTCACTTGTCACACTTAAGATGACTGAGTCAGTGGCTGAGGAGTGTCACATGAAC